TAACCTCATTTGATAATAATGAAGACAGGAGACGGGATAGTAGAGAAAAATATCAGAAGTTTATTTTGTATAAAAGTGGAGAAAATCGTCCAGCAGGGGTCAGCAGGGAGCTCAGACTGATGGTTCCTCAGCTCCTCCTGGTTTCAGGTATCTAACAGGAAAATTCCTCCGTCCTGAAGGTCAGAGACGGAGGCGGAGCTAAAGTGGGACGCTGCTGCTCTAACGTCAGTAAAGACTAATCCTGATTCCCCCTCAGTCGCCTCGTCTAACTCATCCTAAGAACATCAAGGTACATTTTAGAAAGTTCACATTATTACAGCAGCAGTGGAGACCATGGGGCTTTTATTGTGAAATAATAACCGTCACAGCTTAATAGAGATCAATTAGTTCCTCTGCTGAACGATCAGCTTTATGGCTTTTCAGGGGTGGCTTCACAGCAGAGACGCATCATAAATATCCTTAAATAATGATCCCAAACAGACAGCGTCTCTGAGGAACCGAGCTGAGCTTCAGGGTTTAGAGCAGCAGAAGTTCTCCTTTAATCTGCAGCTGGAAGGAAAACGCCTTAAGACTTCATCTGGACCAGGAACTCCATCAATTAATAAGAACCAAACTCTGATCAGCAACAAGCTTCATCAACAGTGCAGAAAAACATCATCATCATCATCATAACAACAATAATAAAAAAACAACCATCTGCAGCCACAGCAGGAGGAACAACGCTTGGACGCCACAGGAACAGACATGGACTCTGCTCTTCCTGGGTCTGAGGGGACCGCCGCCAAGGACCAGCCAATGAGACACATCCTCTGGGCAGGGACACTTCTTCAGGGTAGGGACACCTCCTTAATGTGGGGACACGTCCTTAGGACTGGGTTCACGTCCTCAGGACCGGGACACTTGGTTAATATGGAGACATGTCCTCAGGACTTCTTCAGGGCGGGGACACTTGGTTAATGTGGGGAGACGTCCTCAGGGCGGGGACACGTTCTTAAGGTGAAGCCGTGTCTCTACTCTGAGGAACCGTTTTAATTTTAATTTTTCGTAGTGACCAATGAATCAGAGTCCCCACAGAGCCAGGAAGAGCTGTGTGTGTGTGTGTGTGTGTGTGTGTTGGGGGCGGGTGAAGGCAGCTGGCTCCGGGGTCAAAGGTCATCACATGCCGTGGCGGATGCTCTGGATGATCTGGAAGATGGCTGCAACACAGACAGAGGAGGCTGTTAGCAGCGAGGCCAGAATGAGAAGCACAGGTGAGCTGAAACACCTGACTCCATGCGATGACATCATCGCATGGAGTCAGGTGGTTCCTGAGTCAGGTGGTTGACACATGCCAGTTAGTAGATTTTATCTCCTCTGGGTTTTTCACCAGAGGCATCTCGATTTCAATGTTGTGGATTTGCAACATGTGCCCAAACAGGTACCAAAGGAGGCTACATGCTTTATCTGCTAGCTTGCCTATATTTTGAGCAACAGTTTAACAGAAATGGCCTCCTCCAGAGGTTTTGAGATGTGGGTGGAGAAAAAGGTTGAGAAAAAGTCGTCTCTAATTTTGTGAGAGAATATTTTTGTTTTTGAATTTTGTTTTCAAATAGTGTTAACGTTCATATCAGGTTCAGTCTTCAGAGTTAATTTACCACTCCGGGCCACTGTTGCAAATCTGCAACATCCCAGAATTCATTGCATGTGAAGGTTTCTCTCACTAACAAGTCTGAATTGTATATTACTACCCCATGTGATCATTTTCTCTAAATATCTGATTTTTACTGCAACTACAACTTCATTTGAGCCCGAGAGGCTTAAACCCCATGAAGGTTCTGGTCCTGACAGGGACGCAGTGATGATGATGATGATGAGGCAGAGCAGCTTCCTGTTTCACTTCCTGTCTGGATGAGGCGATAAGTGACATGGAGATTTCTTCACTTCCTGTTTATCTGCAGCTTCCTGTCCTCATCTTCAGAGCATGAGCAACGACTGCTGCAGCACC